CACAAAAAGCAAACATCAGGCGGGACAGTACGGCCACACCCCCAGCGCCGAGGATGCCTGCCCACCCCGAGGGCCATGTCCACCCCCAGCGACCGCTTCCCCACCACCACGATCTCGAGCGAGGCGCGACGTCCCGTCGGCACCTCCACAACCACACTGCCGACCACGCAGCACCTCAGCTCACTTCCACTGATGGTAGTCACTCGCACCTGCCGCGGCGTCTACCGCGCGCAGAAGGGGGCGTAGATGTTTTCTGCGCTGCCGGTGTCAATCAGGGCGCTGCACTCCCGGCCATACACCCTCATCCGCGTGACGGGCAGCGCTACGCTCAGTGCTGCGCAGGAGAGGGTGGCGGTTGCTGACCCGTCCCCTCCGGCTCCGTTTCCCGGTCGCTGCTGGCACCTTCGCCGCGATGTGACCGAGCTCCTCCGCAAGGCCAGCAGTGCAGGTGACGCGGGGCGCGTGGCAGTTGACTGTGCGGCGACGACACGGCGCTGGCCGGGGGACGGCGCCGCGGCCCGTCGCGGCGCTGCTGCCGCCGAGACCCGTTCATCGCTGAGAACGGCACGAGCACGAGCCAGGACGGTGGTCAGGTCCAATCCTTCAGCCCTGGAGCCGGCGCGGATGGTCTGGTGTCCCGGTGTCCGACAACCCCGCGACGAACGCGCAGGCCAGCGCGCGCTCCAGCAGTCACCGAACAGGACCTGCCAGCCGCCGGAGTCGGCTAGAAACACGTCCGCCGCCGTCACCCGGCATCAGTCGTCGAGTGGCGAACATCTCGTAGACGGCGTACTGATCGAGGGCAAACGCGGAGTATAGTGTGCTCCGCACAGCCTCCAGGGAGCAGCGGTCGGTCACCGGCAACTGCGACCAAACGTGGAACGCGCCGCGGGCGAGGCGCAGAGGTGTGACCGACTCGGCGGTCACCCCCTTCAGCTGGCACAGCATCTCCGCACGCATCATCCCGCTCACATCACCGGTCCCGTCACTACTCGGGGACGACGCGAGCATCGAATGTTGGTGCGGCGGCTGCTACGGTACAGTACGACGGTACAATCAAACGTTACAGAATCGTCAGGACTAAGCAGCCGACCCTCGTCCGCGCTCCTTCACGCCACCCAGGCGGCGGCCGCCGCCGCCGTCAACGCCGACAACAATACATCTCGTGCTGCACAGCTCGTGCGGCTCCCGTGTCTCTACGCGCCGGGCACCTCCGCCCATCGCGGCCGCTCAACACAGGCATCACGGAGGTGGATTGTATGTCGATATGATTTGATTGAAATTTGAAGATGAAGATTTTGATGGTAGATCGAGTGGTCAACAAGGTGTTTGAACATGGCAGAGCCATGTTTGTCTGGAAACGTTTAGAATTCAGTCAGGATCGATAAGTGATACAATTTATGCAACGCGGCTTTTAACATGCGCACTCGCAGATGTTAGCAACAAAAATTCAACGCTAGTCGTTGCAGGTTCCATGGGCCACGGTGCGTCGGCCCAGTCGCAAATATTGAACCGTGACCAACAGATGGACGAAAACAATGACGATTCTGAAAAAAGCACCTCTGAACGCTTCAGGACATCAAAGCTTGCATCTACGAGGCAGTCTGGGCGCATATTTCACGTGTGCGATTTTAGACTGACGATAAGAACGGATTGGCCCTTGAAGTACCGCGAAGTGGTGCTGGAATCTGGTAATGGAATTGAAAGAGTAGAGTTAGAATCTTTTTTCATGTTTCTGTAACTATTAATCTGCCCAGAAGACAGGTTAGCACGGCGCCCGCCGTCTGGTGGCGCTTGAAGTGGCCGACGCCGTCCGGTTATACGGAGGCTGCAACCTAGGGCATCGCTGTCCCTGCTACCGGGGTCGCGGGCGGTCATGTTCAAGCCTTTGATGAATCTTTTCGCTAATCCGTTTTGAAAAAAATGAACATTCTCAGGCAAACGTGAAAGGCCTTGCTCGTTTTTTTCTTCTTAAATTCATTTCGACCCATTTTATTCTACAATGATGAGACCCTCACTCTACTCAACAATAATTTGAGACTCCTCGTTTCCTTCGGGACAAGGGGCTCCTTGAGTAGAACACCAGGGGCATATTACCGGTTCCGGTCAAGGGCTGAAGGGTAACTCCGTCCCATCGCGAAGGGTCTTCTGGCTGTCATTCTAGCGGCACGGGGCGGGATCTCCTGGTCGATCCGGAGGCCATTGGAAGGATATGTCATATCACAGTGCTCCCCTCCCTGATACGGGAAGCCTTCTGACCCGAGCAGTTGGCCCCTGATCAGCACAGGAAACCCCATTCACGCAAAAACATCCTGATCGCCGCGGGCGGTCCGATAATTGTCACATATACCCCATTTCTATGTTTTCGGTATTCTTCATAGGTATTGAGGACCTCCTGAATGTAGATTGTGGATGAACTGGGATCATAGATTTATATTAACATGGCCAATCCATGGTGGTCTTAAAATGTTCAGGATTGATTCAAAATTGATTACGGACAAAAACTATGGCATATGGCCTTGAACATACGCGCTCACAAATCATAGCGACAACAGCCTGGACGCCCGGCATTGCAGTCTCCATAGGCCCGTGCGGCGCGGCACGTCGGCCTGTCGCTGTGACACGAAACGATGGGCAATAAACAAACAAAAAAGATAACGCACCTTGAGGAAGATGGCTGGTGAACTAGGTGAATCCGAATATATGTTTCAATGTGATGCAAAAGGAAGCTCTACACAACCTTAATCTGAAAAGCGGCGAGGGGGGGGCAATAAACGCTGCTGGTTCCCACCTTGAAAAGTGGGGACCATGGCTTCACTGCCCCATCCCCCCCCCCCCACACCCTGTTCCTACATCCATTGCCTGACTTGACTTAAGTGAAAAAGTACAATTTGAGCGAAATTGGTGAAATAAAGGAACCCGGGCAATCCCTAGATCTGGTAGCACATCCGTGAATATGGAGAGTACAACCAGAAATATCTAGGGCGAAGGTGGTCCCACATTCTATGTTTTTCATTCATAATAATGGTATGCTTTGCTTTCATTATGATAAGAAGAAAAATTGCACATTTAGGTAGAGTTTCATGCCAACTGGAGATTCCATTAAATCCCGAATATGAACCTGAACATGAGCTAAAGTCTGGTGCCAACTTGACGACCTTTCCAAAGTACACAACTGAGAAGCCTACAAATTAGCGCGATTAGTACATATGTAACGCACAATCAAAACATTGGCATTGAAGGCATTGAACGGCGTTCTACTCACGGTCCTGCTTTATAAGCGCAGCGGTTGTGTGACAGGAGGCGGAGGGAACGGGACTTGGATCGTTAGAAAGGTATGCACATATTTTATATGAAAGGACCACTGTGCTTGTGTTGTAGGGTATAATAAGTTTGCGACCTTATGCAGCTTGGGACGGGCATTTGTTCGAGTGAGTGAAGGGCTATATTACGTAGCTTAACTTAAAGTGAAAGCGTCAGCAATACCTGTAGAACTGAAAGTACCTGCAAGTTAAGAAAACGAAAAATATGGCATTCAATCTGCAAGTGATGTCCCCTCCTTGTACTCCAGCAAAGTGGATTGAGCACTTTGGAGCATAATGCCAACTAAATTAGGTTGATGAAATATGCTTAAAGGGCATTAACCACTTGGAGAGACACAATAAATGGGTTTGTCCCTAGGTTTTCTCACTTTCTTCTCAAATTTCTGGCTGCTGGGGCTCCCCCATCCCAACTGAATAGAAAAGTAGTTACCAGCATGCATCAATTTGTATTATCCTGTATGATAATTTTTAGCTGCTGAATGAAAGTTTCAGGTGGAAATCTAAGTGTCATTAGAGCCAGAAGCATGTCATGTTTAACAGCTCACATTGGTTAGCAGATGAGCGGTAAAAATTATGAAAGTATGAGCTCATATGGTGGGGGTTGACAGGACATGTGGCCATCTTAAGATGTTTGGTCTCTATTTATAAGTGTACTCAAGTTGCAAATCAACTAGTCAAGCCGGCTGATGTATGTGAACAGCTGAGGGTAACATCATGAGGCATAAGTATGATTTCCAGGTGACCACAAACATTAAAAAGCAGATTATCATCCACTTTGCAAAACATGGTAGATTTAGAGTGGATTTTACTGGGGTTGTGTTGGCACATAATTGATGTTTGGGCAGTTATAAATTTTTGGTGTTCAATTCCTCTATTGCAGCAGTTCACAGCAGTTAACAACAACTCATGATATCTTGGGGCAGACATTAAAATCAGACAGAGATTAGAGTCAAAAGAGAAAACACCATATTCAGTACTTAACATAAGAGTAATAATTTACAAAGGTGAGGGTAGCCTGAAGACTAGATTTCTTACATTTCCCTCAGCTGTGGCATAGTTATCTGAATTGCTGCCACATTATTCTGTCCAGATTTATGTCCTGCTAATTGTGCAATCCCTGTAGCCAGAGATATGCCCAATAAATTTGAGGGCTTCAACATACAAGTTGCAAGTCAAGCACCAAATTATTTGCTCTTACCAGCTTCCACTGCTTGGGGTGAACATGTAAATCAGTTGCAGACAACTGCACATCAAGCAGGCCGGGAGTCAGCGTGATGGCTCAGGAAGTTATTGTTTGTAAAAAAGCCACAATGCTAAATGCTGGATGGTAAATCATGAAAATCTGTACAGCTGGTCATGCATAACCACTCAGTGACAGTGACTGCTCAATGTGTGGCGGCAGGCGGCGCCATGGCCGCCGCCAGGGACCTGCCGCGCTGGCAGTCGTGTGGCCGGCGTCAGCGCTGGCCGCCGCGCTGCTACTTCGCGCTGGCCGCACTGCTGCTGATTGCGCTGGCGCTGCTGGAGCTGGCGCTGCTGCTGCGCGGCCTGCTGCAGCCGGCGGCGCCCAGCGCGCTCCGGCTGGACGCCGAGCTGCTGCAGCACGCGCCGCTGCTGCCGCTGCCGCCCGGCGCCGCGCCAGCGCCCGCCCAGGCCAACTGCACCCACTTCAGCTGCATGAACGTGTACCAGTGCGGCGGCGCGCGCCGCAGCCGCATCGCTGTGTACGTGTACCCGTACGCGCGGTACGCGGACGAGCGCGGCCGGGCACTTGTGCCGCTCTCGCGCGAGTACCTGGACGTGCTGCAAGCGGTGCAGCAGAGCCCGTTCTACACAGACGACCCGCACGAGGCGTGCATCTTCCTGCCGGCGATCGACACGCTGGCGAACCGGAATCGACTCCGAACTGACAACGCGCGCGCTCGCCTCGCTGCCCTAGTAAGCAAGCCTTGCTGCCCTAGCAAGCAAGTCTTGCTGCCCTAGTAAGCGAGCCTCGCTACCCTGGCAAGCGATTCACGCTTCCCTAGTTAGTGAGCCTCGCTACCCTAGTAAGCGTTTCTCGCTGCCCCAGTTAGCGAGCCTCGCTGCCCTAGTGAGCGATTATCACTGACCTACCAAGCGTTTTTTGCTGCCCTAGTTAGCGAACCTCGCTGCCCTAGTGAGTTGTCCTCGTTGCCCTAGTCAGCGAACCCCGCTGCCCAAGTAAGCGAGCCGGCCCGCTGTGGCGTAGAGGCTGGCCACGGCGTGGAGAGGGATTGACAGCGCTTTTAATTTTCCTTGTGCTTCTTGAGAGCTTGGGCTTGCTGATAGTCATTCTCGTTGGACGGGGCTAATATGTTACGATTCAGCATCGACTTGGTTAAAGGGGGCTAGCTGTATTTCGCTTTATAAGTATCGGTCCGTGTGTTACTGATCAGTGATGGCGATATCTTGACATAAGTCACGCGTAATGCCAGGCATTGATGTTATCGAGCAACCAATGCCCTTCGGCCAGGAGAGGCCTCGACAAAGCACCTGATAATACGCCGTTGCCTGGCGATCCCCTGTCCGGCCCGGGTCCCAGCGTACGCTGCTGTTTGCGTGCCCTCCCACCAGCCAGTGACGCCGCGTTCGTCGCCGCTGTGCAGCTGGCAGGACGGCGAGAACCACCTGGTGTTCAGCGTGTGGCCTGGCACCGGAACGGAGCGGCTGGGCCGCGCCCTGCTGGCCGGCGCCAGCCTCTCCAGCCTGGTGTACCGGCACGGCTTCGATGTGTCGCTGCCGACGGTGCGCGGCGACGACCAGCAGCCGCCGGCGCCGCCCGAGCCGGCCGAGCCGGAGTCGCCCCGGTCAGTGGACAGTACCGGTCGCCCCGCACTGTGCGCCGGGATGGTGGCGCGGTCGGTGTGACCGCTAGTCAATCGACACTCGTTTGGTGCCGGTCCCGCTCTCCTCTTGTCTGCTGTTGGTGTCTGCCGGCTGCTAGTCTGTTCTAGCTGCTGGCTGTTGGTGTCTGCTGACTGCCAGTCTGTTCTAGCCGCTGGCTGTTGGTATCTGCTGGCTGCCAGTCTGTTCTAGCCGCTGGTTGTTGGTGTCTGCTGACTGCCAGTCTCCTCTAGCCACTGGCTGTTGGTGTCTTCTGGCTGCCAGTCTGTTCTAGCCGCCAGCTGTTGGTGTCTGCCGACGGCTAGTCGGTTCTAGCCGCCGGCTGTTGGTGTCTGCTGGCTGCCAGTCTGTTCTAGCCGCCAGCTGTTGGTGTCTGCCGACGGCTAGTCTGTTTTAGCCGCCAGCTGTTGGTGTCTGCTGACTGTCAGTCTGTTCTAGCCGCTGAGTGTTGGTGTCTGCCGACGGCTAGTCTGTTCTAGACGCTGGCTGTTGGTGTCTGCTGACTGCCAGTCTGTTCTAGCCGCTGAGTGTTGGTGTCTGCTGACTGCCAGTCTGTTCTAGCCGCTGGCTGTTGGTGTCTGCTGACTGCCAGTCTGTTCCAGCCGCTGGCTTTGGTGTCTGCTGACTGCCAGTCTGTTCTAGCCGCTGGCTGTTGGTGTCGGCCCAGCCGGACTTGCACGGCGAGTACGGCCGCACGCTGCGACGGCTGGCGGCGGCCGACGCCAGCGGACGCACGCTGGTGCTGCACCGCTGCGCCGGCGACGGTCACCGCCTCTGCGACGGAGACACCCGGCACGACTACTGGCGCGCGCGGCTGGTGCGGCCGCCGCCGCCGTCGTCGGGACCGCGGCCGGGCGGCGGGTGCTGGGGCTGCGCCGGAGCGGGCTGCCTGCCGTTGTCTGCGGTCGGACGTTTCCCGGAGCGAACGACAGACTATAAATACTGTCAGCTCTGGAGTCACAGACACTGCACTGTGAAGACTTTCGCACGATCTCTGCCTCACAGCAGGGCGACGCCAACATCTTTGATGTGGTGTAGACGCCCCTGGTCCGATGTCAGCTTCCTTGGTGCGTGGCTGGTACCCTGTACGTGCTGCCTGACGCCCGGGCTTCGCCGCCGGCAGGGGGCCGAGTTCTGCCTGGCAGTGCGCGGCGCCCACCTAGGGCCCGAGGCGCTGGCGGACGCGCTGGCCGCCGGCTGCGTGCCCGTGGTGGCGGCCGACCTGTACGTGATGCCCTTCTCCGAGGTGCTCGACTGGACGCGGATCGGTCTGCACGTGTACGAGGAGGACCTGGCCCGGCTGCCCGACATACTCGCAGGTGCGGTCCGCGACCGACGCGTGGGGCTGCGCGCTGGTGGCCGCTGGGCTCTGAGTGCAGGCGGGAGAGCTGGTTGGCCGCCCATGTGTGCTACTACGAGGTGTGCGGGCGAGTAATCCAGTTGCCTCCGACCCAAGTGGGGCCGAAACGGTGGTTTTCATGTCACTACCCGCTCAGTTCTTGTCCCCGAGACGCGGCTGATCGCCGTATCGTGCGATCGTCGTCGGCGTTCGTTGTATGATCGCATTCCCGGGGGAAGGGGTCAGGCCGGGTCTTCGGTGGCCGCCACCCGCCGTCGCCGAGCACCGCCGCGAGGGGAGGGGTCAGGCGGATCACTCGGTGGCCGTCGCTCCGAGGGAAGGGGTCAGGCCGGGTCGTCGGTGGCCGCCACCCGCCGTCGCCGAGCGCCGCCCCGACGCGCCGTCGCTGACGTCTCCGTGCGGCGGCAGAGGTGTCCGAGTCGCGACGGCTCGAGATGCGGCGCCAGGGCGCCTGGGTGTGGCGCCGCTACTTACGCTCGTTCCGCGAGATGGCGCTCACCACACTGCAGATCGTCAACCGACCGCGTCATGCCCGCACCTGGCGCGCTCCTACGAGGAGTGGAACGACCCGCCCACACCTGGTGAGTGCCCTGCGGTCCGCTGGCGCCGGGGAGGGAACGATCCGCCACACCTGTGAGTGCCTGCGGTCCGCTGGCGCGAGGAGGGGAACGATCCGCCCACTGGTGAGTGCCTGCGGTTCGCTGCGCGAGGAGGGGAACGACCCGCCACACCTGGTGAGTGCCTGCGGTCCGCTGGCGCGAGGAGGGGAACGACCCGCCACACCTGGTGAGTGCCTGCGGTCCGCTGGCGCGAGGAGGGGAACGACCCGCCACACCTGGTGAGCGCCTACGGTCCGCTCGTGCGAGAAGCGGGACAACCCGCCACACCCGGCGAGTGCCTGCGGTCCGCTCGTGCGAGGAGCGGGAGAACCCGCCGCATCCGATAGTCATTGAGGCTGTCTTGTAGGTTTATTCCAGACCTTGAAGGGGATGGATTTCTGGGATCAGCGCCCGCGCCAAGCAGCACTTGTTGCGTGGACTCTGGCACCACATTTCGATTGCAAAGTCCCTTGCCATTGGAAGCATTTTGTGATGAAAACAAAACGTGTCGTATTGCTCGCCCTGGCCTGTCCTCTCCTCTGACGTCACGACGTCTCCGGACGTTTAGCGGGACCGCTGCCACCGTCCGCAGGATATCGCAGCCAGAGGTGAATAGCGAGCGCCTAAAGCGACCCAAACGCACTTCGCCAGAAGCGCTGGGCGGGAAGGAGTGTGCCCTAACCGAATAAGCTGCAGGTCCCCCTACGAACAGCGAGGCGGCCCGCCGCCAAGCATACAGGCACTGAGACCGCCCGTAGCCAGGACGCGTGGCGTCACTCGCGCGCGTGCTCCGGCAGGTGTCGTTTGGGTACCCGCTGACGGTGCTGTACACGGCCTTGAGATCGCCTGTGGCCAGGACGTGTGACGTCACTAGCGTGGGATGCGCCCCGGCAGGTGTCACCGGCGTACCCGCTGACGGTGCTGTACACGGCCTTGAGATCGCCTGTGGCCAGGACGTGTGACGTCACTAGCGTGGGATGCGCCCCGGCAGGTGTCACCGGCGTACCCGCTGACGGGTGCCGTACGCGGCCTTGAGACCGCCTGCAGCCAGGACGTGTGACGTCACTAGCGTGGGATGCGCCCCGGCAGGTGTCACCGGCGTACCCGCTGACGGTGCCGTACACGGCCCCGCGCAGCCAGGGCTTCACCGCCGTCGTGCTGACGTACGACCGGCTGGACAGCCTGTACCAGATCATTGAGACGGTGGCGCTGGCGCCCTCGCTCTCCAAGGTGCTCGTGGTGTGGAACAACCAGAAGAAGGCGCCGCCCAGCGGTGAGCACCGGCGCAGGCTCTACACGGAGCTCGTAAAGAGTTCTGTGACAATGTGGTTCGCTTGTGGAGGTCCCATGTCCACTGGCCTACATGGGCTTCAGTTTGTGTGCGCTCAGTCACAATATGTGCTCGTCGTTATTCTCCTGTCAAATGATGTTTGCTGGCTCCTGCGTGGTGTCGTGTTATATACTCCACCGAGCCATCCATACCTCATTGCGTAGCGTCATCTAGTAGCCTTTTCATATCATTTCCACGAATCAGTGCTGCAATTCCTGCGAAAAAGATGACGCCAATTGTAAGTTATGTTAGCTTCTATTAAAGCTATTCTATTAAAATTGTTAGCCTGACCAGCCCCGGTTCGCTGCGAGCCTGGATTGGTGATGCTTTTTGTAGTGTGGCTCAGGCTCCATTTGCTTTTAAACATGCCGCTTTATTGGCATCCACGCGCTCATTGTAGCCTGTCCACACACACCCTCGCACGCTTCCTGTTTGGCGTAAGGTGTGCCGCGCGTCGTCCGCGTCACGTCCACGTTCGCGGTGTGGCTGCCGTTTGGGCGTCACGATGTCATAGTTGTCCCTGAACACGCCGTGCCCGCCTCCGCAGCGTCGTTGTGGCCGACCATCTCGAAGCCGCTGAAGGTGGTGCAGACAGGCGCCAACCTGCTCAGCAACAGGTTCTACCCGTACGACGAGATCGAGACCGAGTGTGTGCTGGCACTGGACGACGACATCACCATGCTGACCGTCGACGAGCTCGAGTTCGGCTACCAGGTCGGTCAGGTGCCGCCCGCGGGCCCTCGGTACGAAACGTGAGCGCGGGGGCGGGGAGGTTTGGGAAGAGCTTCGGCACGAAGGTCGTGGAGGAAGCAACACCAATCAGTTTTGCTCAGGTTACGCTTACTGCTAATGCAAGGCTGTTGCGTAGAACGCTGTTTTGAGAGAATTTGTCAGCGCTGTTGCTGGGTATTCCTCACCACGCCACGTTTTGATACATCTTACCCGCATAGATGGGACGCGGGCGTCCAAACTCTCTGCCATACTTGGTGTGTTATGCGATGCCATACGCGTGACGGCGGAGGAGGCCGGAAGCCCAAGTGTGGCCCAACTGGTGTCGGAGTGTGGCCCGACTGGTGCCGGAGTGTGGCCCGACTGTTGCCAGAGTGTGGCCCGACTGGTGACAGAGTGTGGCCCGACTGTTGCCGGAGTGTGGCCCGACTGTTGCCGGAGTGTGTCCCGACTGTTGCCGGAGTGTGGCCTGACTGGTGGCAGAGTGTGGCCCGACTGTTGCCGGAGTGTGGCCCGACTGTTGCCGGAGTGTAGCCCGACTGGCGCGGTGCCCATACTGCTTTGTACGGTGTCCATGCTGCATACTGCCCGACCTGTGCGCGGTACAGTGTCCGCGTCGTCAGGTGTGGCGGGAATACCGTGTCCATGTCGTATACTGCCCGACCTGTGCGCGGTGCGGTGTTCGCGTCGCCAGGTGTGGCGGGAGCACCGCGTCCATGCCGCATACTGCCCGACCTGTACGCGGTACGGTGTCCGTGTCGCCAGGTGTGGCGGGAATACCCGGACAGGATCGTCGGCTTTCCGTCGCGGAACCACGTGTGGAACAACGTCACGCAGAGCTGGGGCTACGACTCCGAATGGACCAGCGACCTGTCCATGGTGCTCACCGGCGCAGCCTTCTATCACAAGGTCAGCCGGCAGGCCACGCTCGGGTCGGCGTGCTAGCGCAGGGGTGGTTGCGCTGCTCATCCGGACCGCTCACCAGCTTGATCGGTGTCAAGACAGGTTTTGTCCGCCAAGACCGAGGTGGTGTCCGGCAGTACCGGGACAGGGCTCCGCGCTTGGTTACCGCAGGTCGCGCGGCAATAGTGTTTTACGTCAGTCACCTCTCGCCGTGACTGGGGCTGGTTTTGCTGCGCGGTCGGCGTTGATGAGAGTCGGACAGGCCTCGCCCTATGCCAGGCCGTGTGGTCTGTCCCTGCTGGCCTGGGGGCTTGACGCAAACGAGCCGACCGCCATTAGTACACTATAGATCGCTGCAGGTATTAATCGGTCCTGGCCGATTTGGTGAGCTTAATTTTGCCTCCGATAAGCTGACATCATAGGACCCGGGTGTGTCTCCCTGTTGGTTGTGTTTCTTTCCAGCTCTCTCACATGATGTTTTCTTCGCTGGATCGTGGGAAGCATCGATATGCGACGACGCGTTGTTTGTTACAGTACTGGAACTATCGGTACACAAACTCCCTCCCTGGCAACATCAAACAGTGGGTGGATGACAACATGAACTGTGAGGATATCGCGATGAACTTCTTGGTCAGCAACGTCACTGGCAAGGCCCCCATCAAGGTAACGACTGCGTGCAGTAACGGCGTCCCACCCGACTAAAATTTGATATGGACGCACTAGATACAACTCTTGCGACATGAAGCGCCCGAAACATTTAAGCGTGCCCGTGGTCCTCCCACGACACACGTATCGTACTAGTTCCATTTCTGAGAAGTCGCAATATACAGGGCGGGCAAACCAATGCATCTGCCCAGAGTAGTCCAAGTTGATGTCTGCGCATGCCTTTGTGGACAGGCATGATGCGGGGTGGTTTAAAGGTGGCGTCCGGTGCTGATCATTTCCGTGTGTCACCGCCATGGTTCTTCTGGTCCCTGCGTTCCCACTGGTCCTCTTCGCGGACCTGCGCTCCGCCATGCGGCGCCCTGACCCGATCCGACCCGATCTGACCTGACCTGGCCTGAATTGACTTGATCTGACCTGACATGACCCGACATGACCTGGTCTGACCTGAACTGACGTGACGGGATCTGATCTAGCCTGATCTGACCTGACCTGACCTGACCTGACCTGACCTGACCTGACCTGACCTGACCGGGGCGCCGGCAGGTGGCGGCGCGGAAGAAGTTCAAGTGCACGTCCGCCGACTGCAGCGGTGGCGACCTGTCGGCGAACGTGGACCACTTCATCGAGCGGTCCGACTGCATCCAGCACTTCGTGGGCGCGTTCGGCGCCATGCCGCTGCGCAGGGTGCAGTTCCGCGCCGACCCTGTCCTCTACCGGGACGACTTCCCGGCCAAGCTCAAGCGTTACAACGACGTGGGCAGTCTGTGAGGCGGCCGGACGCCGCCGCCGCCGCGGCTGGAGGGGTCGGAGCGGGTCAGGGAGCCGCCCTCCGCGGCGGTCAGGCTCTCAGGCACCGATGGCAGTGGGTTGTGATTTCGTTTTTACAAGGAGACCCCTTTGGGGGCTGTACCAGGAGATCTGTTTCCGGTCGCCCGGTGGACGAAGCGGGAGGTTTGGGCTTGTCCCTGGAATTCGAAAACTGCCGCGAGGGAGGATGAGAGCTTTTCTGAGCTGGACTGTGCAGGCGTTATAATGTGATGTCTGGACTCCTGATCATGATCAGCGGCCGCCATTTTAGGCTAAATGTGACGCATTGTGTAGGGAAGAATACGAGCTTACTGTGGTTACAACAGGCCAACTGTGGAGATTCTTAATGATACTTAATCCGTGTTCTACGCTTGTAGGTCGTTTATCGTCATCATGTGCCATGTATTTGTCAGCGAAGTGTTACAAGATGTTGTGCTATGAAACATTTTAATACAATATCATAAATATTGTGCGTCTTCGCGCGGTAGTACATTAGTTGCAGATTGTAATTTATTGCCCATTTATTAGAACTACTTAACTGATGCGTATAGCCCGATGCAATATGTCTTTCGTGTGGGCATGTCGGGCTTATTCAGCAGTACCGGATAGTACCGAAAGTTATCTGCGAAACCGTTCTGCTTGCTTCTGCTTATTACACTTGCTGCCATCTAGTGTCAGTAGATGCATCAACACTTCCACCGTCACCGCCAGGTCCTTGACCGATGCAAGACGTCAGCAAGACAAGTGCTTGATGCAGGGTTCTAGCAGTGGCTTCGGAACTGAGTGGGATTTACTGCCCCCTCGCTGCTCAGCAAGGCTTGAACAATTCGGCATTAGTCGTATTGCTTCAGATGTTGAGACGATGTTCGGAAACTGTTCCTTTAGGGATACTTTTGAGCTTCCTGCTTATTAGTTTTCGATGTTAGTTCCAAGACTCGGCGGACCGGTTCAAGATATACGGGGTGTATCAGCAGCGCGCACTTTGAGGCGCATGACATCTCAAAAAGTGTGGGCCAGCAAAATCTAAGACATGATGTAGGAGCAAAACAGCGTCACTTGGGGTGCGTCATTGGCTCTCGCTCTGATCCGACATGTCCGATACAAACCTCAACAGCATTAGCTAAGATTCCATCGATCAAATGAGACCAGAAATATCAATGATGTGATGTCAATGATAAATGATGCGACAATTCTTTATCCCACCAAACAAAACCTGCTGATATTCGCAATGAAAGAAAGCGATGCATGATGAAAAATGGCAGACAAGACCTCGATGAACTTGGTGTTATTAGCAACACATCATAAAGCATGCTGAAAAAACAGTGCCAGAGCACTGCAAGTACGATACTGGCCACAGCAGTACATCATCCGATGGTGATATTTTGTAAAAACACTTCATTTTCTTTGCAAAGCCAAAAATAGAGTTGACATACATTTGTTGGACTAAAACGCTTCGTTCTGAGCGCCAGCTTACATCCCGTTCTAAAATAAAGAACTAAAACGCGGTTTTTGAAAGATGGAGTTTTCACCTGTGCCCAAATGTGATGGAGTGATGCGGCATGTGGAGAGGAGTTCGTTTTTCCAATGCCGCTGTCAATATATGGCCACGCATCGTACGCGTGGGTTGGATTTGCCTGCTTTACCAACAGGATAGATTCGCGGGTAAACCATATCTGGAGGAGAAAGACTTTACGATTGTAGGGATGGATAATGATACGTCCTGAAAGTGTGCTCGTTGCAATCGCAGCGTTGATAGGTATGACGTCAGCATTGTTCAGTAATACAACGTAATATGCCATCTTAAACAGCCATAAAGACAAAGCACTAACATGGTGAACCATGCGAAATATATGAAATGCCAGCGGCTGTTTAAATGTGTTTTGAAGGACGAAATGCTGCCTTTTATTCTTGACGTTCTGCTGTCACCATTTCGCACCAGTGCACCAGGAATGACGACGACCACGATCACGATCCCACATGTGATCGGAACCACAACTCGTTCAGCAAACTAAGACTAGGTAGTCAAGGGATTTTTGTGGTATTCGGTCGGTGTAGCCCGTTGGTCACTGTCTGCTTCAAAGTCTAAATATGTTATGTCTTTCTGTATAAAAGAACCCAGCGAAACAATGGCAAAAAGTAGCGAAAAGTATCCAAAGTATCGTGTCCACCAAAATGTATCAAAAGCATCGTATCTACCAAAAGTATCGTATTTGTCGTAACCTGAACTTTAGTAGCCTGCTGACGACGCCCGAAGCAAATGTAAACAGCGTAGAAGTGCGGAGACATTGCCACGTTTGCACTGCATCTCTGGTTCGAAGCTTTGTAACACTCTGGCCTTAATGCGAAGTTGTCATCATTGCTAGCATGTGGTAGTGGCGTAATCTTCTACTTTGTTCAATTCAAGGCAAAACTTTATTGACATTGCAACTTAAAGAGCGAAAGGTGGCAGAACAAGGTGCCATGGTATCCGCAAAATGTACCTCAATCTTCCACGCATTTACTTCAACAATAATGTTCGATGGGCCAATACGTAATCTCTCGGACATGAAATAGCGAAGGGCATGATTACGATTAGACGCCTGTTCTTAAGTCGACAAGCGATGGGATCATTCAGACATTTGGTAACCGGCATTTCATTCGTTTCGGCCCATTCTGGCTCGTTTTAACTGATGCGTTGTGATGACGTTCCGGTCCAATCCACACTGCGCGTCTGAGAAACCAGAAATACGGGGTTCGAGTCCCTGCGGAGCCCCCCCCCCCCCCCCCCGTCAGGGTAAGAAGGAAGCCACGCAGTGTGAGTTAAGATATAGCCTCAGCAGCTGAGTGCGTCGTAGAGCCCCCATGACGACGACGGCCCAACTCATAATCCTTGGTCTGGTCTTGTCCACGAGGTAATGCCCATAGTTTGAAGCTTGGTCACTTGTCCATTACTTGGGTACAGCATTGGAGAAGTCCCTCCCACGTAGCTCAATCAGTTAATAGGCCTTCCTCCCGACCAAGCTGTGGCGGGGAGGGTGAGTTCGAGTCGCTTCGACGCCCGATACTTGCCCCTGCTCGGAATGGCCAGCCGCCGCTCAAGGATCAGGTGAGGTCAGAGGGCGAAATTGGCCGCACCGAGCAATGCCGCACGCTAATATTTCGCTACCAAATTCTGCCGTTGAAGTTGAATTCTACCATTGGATGGTGCGGCCTGGGTTTGCACACACAAAAAAAAACACCGCTTATCGTGAACTCTGATCCCAGAAATCCATCAAAATATTTTGGCTAGATTTATAAGAAATTAAGAAAAAAGCACAACAGTAAAACAAAATTGTGATCATGTGACGGCGAATGTGACTCGAAATGTGCTATCACATTTTGTACGTTGTTTTGGCGTTTTTATCGATCGGATACGGCTGTCTAACCACCAGAGAGTTCGGTATGACTGAACGTAAAAACAGCACTGAAAATGCACTGCATCTCAATGACTAATGAGAGCAAGGAGTTCGTCTAAAAAAAGTAGTGAAATCGGACTACTTTGGTTTCCATATTTCCTTATCACGTTTTGACGACTTCTCGCTGTGTGTTTTCAATTTCTTAATGCACGAATTTTACTACCCACTAGGTAGGCAGGGAAATATTTTCCCCAATCAGTCGAAAATGGGAATTTGTCCCGTCATGTTTGCCCTAAAATGCACATCTGGAAAGCCGTGATGCCATTTTTGGCAGATTGTCTCCCCAAAATTCCAGTCTGACCTACAAATTCTTATTTTTATCACCAAATCTCACAGAAGAGGCAACAGCCAATTGCGTAATGTACCAATGAAAGATATAGATCGATTTCAGCCTGTAGCATTGACCTCGACACCAGTTAATGTTGAGGGGGGAGGGGGGGGAGGGCATCGATATTTTCAGGGTGTTTATTTGCACGCAACAGCACAGGCGCACTGTCACGTTCTCGAGAATCCAAATGTGACGTTCTGTTCATTTTTGTGTGAAATCAGCGCTTCTCGGTGGAGGATAGAGATAAAAGAACTCAAGATGCGCTACGATTTTCGAAAATGACCACGCACTCCCTGTGTTTCTCTTTTCTATCGAGTCTGAATAGCCAAGTGTGTGTTTTCACTTGACATGTAACATACAACATGCGTTGGCGATTTAAATTTTGATTGATTATTTTGTTTTGCCGCAGTTGTGTAGACGATTGGATGGTTAGTAACGTGCGAATGTGGTCGTTTTATTATTATGTTCGATATTGTACTCATACAACTATTGTAATTACATGGAATCAAACAATAGGCCGCTTGATGGAAAAGTTCGTGAACACAATGAACAGAACTAGACATTATGTAAAATATCATGTGGCGAGGAGAGAGCGACACATCCGGCCTCCCAGATTTATGACATTATTTGCTCATTATCATTTTATTCTTTTAGAACATCAAGTACTTCTTACACTAGCTACAGTTTTCCTCAAAAGTGTTCATCAGTGTATATTATAAGTATAGTACCACCCGACTGCGGCCTTGGTTTGGGGTGGCCGCGGGCGAAGTTCCATGCCGGCCGCTCTCCCGCGCCCCCACGAAGACTGCAACGCCTGACCCGCCAATGCTGTTCACAGGGGCGTCGTTCCGCAAAATGAGTTTTTTTGGGGGGGGACTGAGTAGTGAAAAATGACCTTATCTACCCCAAAAATATTCCAACAAATAGGTTTCTACTCAGACTGGGCCGACTGTCTCCCCAAAACTGGGAGGAAAGAGGGTTAGTTGGTCCAGCTCTTCCAAGAAAGTGGGAAACCCAAGTTAGGGGTCTGAGGTCACCAAATGTTTAGAAAATTACATTTCTACCTGTTCAGGAAGAACCATATAGGACTTCCTGTACCCCTAAATGGTGTATTAGCACATGATTTTTTGTTACATACGTATGAAGTTGCGGTATAGTCTGATTCATTTCATACCTTCCTATTCGCTTGGAGTACCGTC